GTGGCAGCAGGAGGCCGCCCCTCTCACTGGCGCCCTTTATAGCGTTTGCTTTCTGTTCACCCCTGAAGGGAGGACGGGGGCGGGGGAAGCTAAGAGCCTGTTTTCTAAAATACAGAATACCGTCATGCTCTCTTTCGAACGGGCTTGCGTGGGCACTGAAGAGGGCCAGCGGAGGCAAGGAGGGGGCAGCGAGGACGAGGTTTGTGGATTTTTTTCTGCACACTGGAAATTCCCAGGCCAAAAGGTAGCGACCCGAGTCCCGGACATTCCCCTGGATGGCCGGCTCCAAGACCAGGACTGGAACCGCGGGGAGGAATCAGAGGCAACATCTACAAACAAAACTTTTTCCTTAAAGACGTCCTTTTAAAATGTCCTGGTGAATCTCCTGCTAGGCATTAGTGTTGCCTTCTCACTAGATTCACCTCATCTTATTTCGCCTTTTCTGTGTGGCCCCTAAATGGGGTGCAGTGGGCGGGTGAAGTTACCTTTTACAATACAGTCAAAAAGTAGTATAGCTATCATGTGCCTTCATTGACTCATTAACGAACAAGGCATCTGTGACATAAATAAAGCAATGTTCCTGTAACATGAAGATCACTTTATTTTCAAGGGGGAAGGGGAATGGGAATGGAGTGGATTTAACAGCAAATGAACCATTGCACAACACTGAAAGGATTTCTGCTATGACTTTTAGTTTCACTTCTTTTCCATTCAGTACACTTGATGCTAATCTCGGTACTGCTTTTTTTTTTTTTTTAAGTTATATTCCCTGGGCAGCGTTAAATCCAGTTGAAATGGGGATTAGAGTTACATATCATTAGGCTCTTAAAACTCAAAGAGGCCTGGTGGCCTCTCATTTAACAAGAATATTAAAAAGGAAAATATATGTACACACATATAAATATATTTAAGTTCACCCTTTATGTTTATTTATTTATTTATTTTTGAGACAGAGTTTCCCTCGTTTGCCCGGGCTGGAGTGCAATAGCGCAATCTCAGCTCACTGCAAACTCCACCTCTCAGGTTCAAGTGATTCTCCTGCCTCAGCCTCGTGAGTACCTGGGATTACAGGCATGCGCCACCACACCCAGCTAATTTCGTATTTTTAGTAGAGACGGGGTTTCACTATGTTGGCCAGGCTGGTCTTGAACTCCTGACCTCAAGTGATCCACCCGCCTCGGCCTCCCAAAGTGCTGGGATTACAGGCGTGAGCCACCACACCCAGCCCACTCTTTTTTTAAAAGTTAAAATGTAAAAGCACGTTTAAGAGACAAGTTAGACTGAAGTTGGTGGAGTACATTTTGTGCTCTCCTAGCTTCTGTGTCCTTTAAACTCCTGCCCTCAACCATCCTCTCATCTTCCACCACCTCCATTCTCCCAGGATTCCCAGGTCCCCTTAGAACTCAGGGGCTGAGGTCTCACCTTCAAAGTGAAAAATTAACAACTTCAAAATTTTATTTATTGCACATTGAGGTATCAAGAATCCTAAGTACACTGATAATACATTGTAGACATAAACCAGGTTGAATAATGCTTAACACAAGAAAATAAATACACTTAAGGTGGACTTTCTGGCATTAGTGACTAGCTGATGTTAAAAAGCTGAACTTACCCAGAACCCACAAAGATAATTCTGAGCTGTTTTTTCTGAAGTTGGGAACACTTAGTTCTGTTGTTTCGCTTGGGTGTTTATTTCCCTGTACCTTTCTCAGTGATCACTATTTCCTTGAACAGGGTCCCGAAACACTCATATCTGGCATGTAACACATGAATATGTAAAGGTTTACCATATTTATTCTTGTCAAGTACCCTGATTTACCAATCTGCAAACTATCAGCCTGTAGTTTTCAGGCTGATAAATGTGAAACTGGATTCAGTTATTAAACTGGATCGACTAAGTTTCAATCCGAAACTTAAGAATTATATCCAGCAAGTATCTGTTAAGTGGTCTTAATTAAAATGATAGTTGTTCAGAATGGCAAAGTGAATGATATGGGAACATCAAAGGACTGTTTTACATTCCCTAAAGGTTACTTTTAGCAGGATAATTCTATAAAATGTAATTTGTATAGAAAGGTTTTATTATGGGTTCTGTCTGTCACAAATAGCATCAAATCAATCATCTCAGTTCTGGAATATGAGATTCACTAAGTTAAATTAATACTGTCATTCCAAAATAGAAATGCATATTTTTCAACCACTGAAATTGTATATAAACCACGGTTTTAATATTGTAAACCTAAATGTCCAACCATAACAACCAACTTACCTAATAATGAAAACTCCAGTAGCAGAACTATTAAGCAGACCTATATAACTTATGAAGACTATTTAACATAGAAAAATATTTGTGTAAAAAACACAGATCCAAATTACATATTCTCTATAACTATATGGTTAAAAAACCTACAAGAAAATATGCCCAAATACTACTGTTCATTGTGTTCAGATGATAGAATTATGGATTTTATCTGCAGATTTTTCTTCTAGATTTTATAGTTAATATTCACAACCATGTGGCACTAGCCTAAAATAAACTTTTCAGAAGAAACTAAATTATTCTCTCTATTATTCTGAGAAAGGTTTAAGTGATACTGAAATCTTTATCAAAATTTCCACGCCAGAGTGAAGGAAGACAAATTAGATGTGGAATGAAAGTTGTTCGCACTGATAAGTGAGAAGTAAATGATAACACATGGACACATAAAGGGGAACAACACACACTGGGGCCTGTTGGAGGGTGGAGAGTAGAAGGAGGAAGAGGATCAGAAAATTACTAAGGGGTACTAAGCTTAATACCTGGGTGATGAAATCATCTGTACAACAAACCCCCATGACAAAAGTCCTATGAAACAAACCAGCACATGTACCCCTGAACTTAAAAGTTGTTTAAAAAAAATGTTTTTAAGAGAGATAAAAGTGACTTAGAATATATGAAGAAGCTGTGCCACCAAATCTTTAAGAGCTATGTCACCAAATCAAAAAATAACAGAAATGAGACAAGATCATAAGAAATCATTTGCACAATCAAGTAGCATTATTCCAAACCACTGGAGAAGCAATGCCCTCTTTCTTTTTAAAATTCTTCTGGGAAAATTACTCCTCAGCCTCCTTTATAAATCCTTGAGGAAATGTCTGTAAGTTATTTCATGAAAAGAAATCCTGTCGGCTGGGCACAGTGGCTCACACCTGTAATCCCAGCACTTTGGGAAGTCAAGGTGAGTGAACTGCTTGAGCCCAGGGATTTAAGACCAGCCTGGACAACATAGTCTCTATAAATAAAATACAAAAATTATGTGGCCCTGGTGGTACACACCTGTAGTTCCAGCTAGTCAGGGGGCTAAGATGGAAGAATTGCTTGAACCCAGGAAGTCAAGGCTGCATTGAGCCATGATCATGCCACTGCACTCCAGCCTGGGCAAAAGAACAAGAACCTGTTTCAAAAATAAATAAATAAATATCCTTCTTTACAAAAGTCTCACAAGTTTAGCTGAAAAGGGATATGGACCTTCACATACCTTATTTCAAATCCGAACTCAAGTTCCTCATGTATAAAATGGAGTTAATATCACCTACACTACTGGATCATGAACAGAATTAAATTAGTTATTGGTAAAACCCCTGAAATAATAAACAAGCCATGTTTATTCCCTCATTCTGTCTTACCTCTTAAGTGTTTCTCTAAATGTGAAATACCATCAGAATCACTGAGCGCTTGCCAAAAAGGTTGGTTCCATAAATCCCAGAGGCATCATGATCCCGCTTTTTTGTTTGGAGACAGGGTCTCGCCCTATTGCCCAGACTGGAGAACAGTTGAACAATCAAGGCTCACTACAGCCTCTGCAACCTTCTGCCTCCTGGGCTCACACAGTCCTCCCACCTCAGCCTCCTAAGAAGCTGGGACTACAGGTGGGTGCCACCACACCCAGCTAGTTTTTGTATTTTTTGTAGAGATGGGGTTTCACCATGTCACCTAGGCTGGTCTTGAACTTCCAGGCTCAAGCAATCAGCCCACCTTGGTCTCCTAAAGTGCTGGGATTACAGATGTGAGCCACCATGCCTGGCCTTAATTCTTTTATTATTTAAGAAAATTTTTTAGAGACAAGGTCTTGTTCTGTTGCCCAGGTGGGAGTGTAGTGGCACAATCATAGCTCACTGCAGCCTCAAACTACTGGGCTCAATCAATCATCCTGCCTTAGCCTCCCTCGTTGCTGGGACTGGGCCCATGCCTGGCTAAATTATTATTTTTTGTGGAGACCAGGGCTTGCTATGTTACCCAGGTTGGTCTCAAACTCCCAGCCTCAAGCAATCCTCCTGCCTGGCCTCCCAAAGTGCTGGGATTACAGGCTTAAACTACCACACTCCAACATGACTCTTAATTCTGCATTTTTGTCAGATATTACAAGTGATCCTTAGGCAGCGTAAAGCTTAAGGACCATTAAAATTAAGCTATTTTAATATATTTTACTACCTCATCAGACTCAGAAACAATTAAAAATCTTCTTTCCTCATAAAATACTTTAAAAACTTGAAGGTGTTCCTCAAGGATAGGAAAGTTAAGATCGGGGGCCCTCTGTTTAATTAAAAACCCAAATTATTTGACCCATTCTTCTAAGGGTACATATTTTTCATACTTCAAGCATCCATCTTCCTCTCTAAAGCCTCCCTAGTTTCCTCACATGTCCACTTAGGAGAGACTTAACTAAACTACAATCTATCACAGCTCAAAAAGAAAAAAGTACTTACTAAATGATCCCAAATTAACTAAACTCCTTTAAAATTAATAAGCAAATAAAACTAATAATTCTCTTATTCTTAGATAGCTAGTAGGAATAGCAGTTTCTTCTAAGCATGAGAGAATGGGTGTACCTTATGCCCAAATCAAGAAATAATAACAACAACAAAAATCAAGAAATACCAAAATATCTTGTTAATTTCTAATTCGATTTTAACTTCTAATTTTGGTAAGTAGTTCAAAATAACAAGAAAAACACCTGAAATTGGCGGGAAAAACTTTCACAGCTTTATAATACAATAGCATTCATTACATAAAAGTCAATTCTTAAAACCCTCAAATTTCAGAACATAAAAATAAACTTCTGTTTACAGATTTCCCCTTCCAGTTCCAAAAGTAGTCATTCTAGAGTAAGTATTCAACACATAAAATTTAGCTGGAGCAAATAAAGAACAATCACCAAATGCAAATATTAATTCCAAACAGATATTATATGTACTGCTTTCCTATTCCCTTTTGCTTCTTTTCTAGATAAAAGCAGGAAATTGCAAATATTCTCACTGTAAAATGCAAACCAAGCACATTGGCCTCATCAAGTAATTCAGAAAAGGTAGATCATCAAGAGAAACTCCTGAGACACAGCAGTCTTCAGTGCATTCACAAGAGCCTCTGACTATAGGCTTCCTCTGATTGACCCCCAGAAGACGGACTACTTGGGCTACTCATGCAGATGCACTCAATTCCCTTTACCAGATAAGCTACAAACACTCTACTACCATTGTCCCGTCCATCAGAATACGTTTCATCGTCCTTAGCAAAGTAATCACCCCTCCCAGAAGAAGCTAATTCAAATACACTCATTAGCATCTTTGGTTACAAGAGCAATACAGTGTATAGATGCTGTTAATAAGAGTTCTACCATGGCTAAGTCAAGATTGGATAAAATCCTATAGGTAGATATAAATGTAACCTGCATTTTCTAAGCTCCTCATATAAAGTCCAGCTCTTTTTGAAATTTTATATTTATTAATGGCAGTCATCTCTCACTGGGGACACTTTCCGTAGCTCAGGTCAATTGAGAAGGTCATTGAATATGATTCCTATAGTCCCTTCCAGGACAGGCTAGGTCTCAAAGGGGCACACAAAGGACAAGAACATGTCCAGCTGGTTCTTCACAATAACTTCATCAGGATGCAGCTTGTGTGGTAGATAATGAGCCAGGGTCATCTCCCAGGCATCCACAAGATATACTCCAACCCCTGAGAACATCCTCCGAAGAATGGTGTCCAGCTGAAAGTTGTACCAGTCGCTGTTGAAAAGGCTCACCTCAGGCCCCAGCTCTTGGGCATTGGCCGTCCGGATGACCACCACCGTCTTTGGGCTTCGATCGAGGAGCCGAACCACCGCTCGACGGATGTTCCTGAGCCGCCGGATATACACTTCCAAGGGGAAGGTGCTGAAGTGAGACCATACAGCTATGGCAACCACTGTGTTCTTCCCTCCCACAATGCCGTTCAGCTCATTCGCCACATAACGGAGCTCACTGCTAAAGACGGTGGTGAAGCGGATGGGTGGACCATGGCAGCGGTATTTGAGCAGGATGTTGTGCTTCTGGTCCACTGCAAGGAAGGGGCCCACATTCTTGGGACTACCCAAGTTAAACTCCACTAAATCTGAAACAAGGAAAACTCAAGTTCATACAAACATTCACACCAAGCACATATATTTTGATTATACCTTATTAAGTGGCTTCAAATAATAAGCTTTTTTTTAAAGTACAATGAGAAGGTACAATATAAATGTAAAGGGAATACCTATTTCACTGTATTCTGCCCCCTTTCGTCTATCAATGGGCCTTTATTCTAACATATTATTTAAATTATTCCACAAACCTAATATTCATTATAAATAACACCATCAGTTATAGATTCTACACGTGTCTATGCCTAAAAAACAAAATAACCCCTTTTTCTCTAATTATTAGGCCAAGAAATGTTGCTATTTGTATTGATCATTGCAATTTTTTTATCTAGTCTAAAGTTTTTTTTTAAACTTTTATTTTAGGTTTGGGGGTGCATGTAAAGGTTCGTTACATAGGAAAAAACATGTCAAATATGATTTCATCACCCAGGTTTTCAGCCCAGTACCAAATAGTTATCTTTTCTGCTCCTCTCCTTCCTCCCACTCTCCCTCTTCAAGTAGACCCGTGTCTGTTGCTTCCTTCTGTGTGTTCGTAAGTTCTTATCATTTCTCTCCCACTTATAAGTGAGAACATGTGGTGTTTTCTGTGTTAGTTTGCTAAGGATAATGGCCTCCAGCTCCAACCATGTTCCCACAAAAGACATGCATGATCTCAGCAGGGCGGAGGGGGATCACCTGAGGTCAGGAGTTTGAGACAAGCCTGACCAACATGGAGAAACCCCATCTCTACTAAAAATACAAAATTAGCTGGGCGTGGTGGCACATGCCTGTAATCCCAGCTACTTGGGAGGCTGAGGCAGGAGAATTGCTTGGACCCAAGAGGCAGAGGTTTTGGTGAGCTGAGATCATGCCATTGCACTCCAGCCTGGGCAATAAGAGCGAAACTGCGTCTCAAAAAAAAAAAAAAAAAAGATATGGCCTTTTTATGGCTGCATAGTATTCCACAGTGTGTATGTACCACATTGTCTTTATCCAATCTGTCACTGATGGACATTTAGGTTGATTCCATGTCTTTGCTATTGTGAACAATGCTGCAATGAACATTTGCTTGCATGTGTCTTTACGGCAGAATGACTTATATTTCTCTGGGTATATACCCCGTAATGGGATTGCTGGGTCGAATGGTAGTTCTGCTTTTAGCTCTTTGAGGAATCACCATACTGCCTTCCACGAGGGTTGAACTAATTTATACTCCCACCAACAGTGTAAAAGTGTTCCCTTTGCTCTGCAACCTTGCCAGCATCTGTTATTTTTTGGCTTTTTAGTAGTAGCCATTCTGACAGGTGTGAGAACCACAATTTCACTGTGGTTTTGATTTGCATTTCTCTAATGATCAGTGATACTGAGCTTTTTCTTCATTATGTTTGTTGACTGTATGTACGTCGTCTTCTGAGAAGTGTCTGTTTATAATCATTTAATTTATAAAAATCAACTTGGCGTTTATATTTTATTCTCCTACAGATAAATATTATTTCTTTCAAGACAGGGGCTTTAACTTCTGTTTTATGAGCACATGTTAGTAACCTAATACTTCTTTTGGGAAATTCTGTCATTTGTAATAACATAAATGAAATTAGAGGACATTATGCTAAGTGAAATAAGCCAGACGCAGATGTCTGTTATGTGGAACCTCATGCAATATTTGTCTTATACTGACTTATATGTGGAACTTTAAAAAGTTGAAGTAGAGAGTAGAATAGTGGTTCCCAGGAGTTTGGTGCAATGGGGAGATGTTAATCAAAGTCTCAGAAGGAAAATGTTTTAGAGATCCATTGTACAACCTGGTAACCGTAGTAAATAATAATGTACTGTATATTTCAAAATTTCTAAAAGAGGAGATTTTAAATGTTCTCACTATAAAAATTTAATTATGTGAGGTGATGGATATGTTAATTTACTTGATATAATAATTCTACAATGTACATATATATCAAAATATCACACTGTACCCCATAAATATACCTAACTGTTGATTAAAATTGAAATGTTTTTAAAATAACATTAAAGCAAGTTCAAATGTAATTCTGAAAAATGAAAACAAACACCTCTTTCTGCAATAGGCAAAAGAAAGAGGCAACCCTGTTTCTTTTGACTTTCAATTTTACCCTATAGATGAACAATCATGTCAATGTCCTACAGAAAAACTTCCATCTGTATCATGAGAATGATGTAGATAGCATCACAAGTTAGAATTCCCTTTTCTAAATAGTATTTCAAGGTCCAGTTGCCTGGAGACATTCTGAAGGTCCCAGGAATCAGTGGGACTCACTGTTATTCCTAAAAGCAACTCTGTATAATTCATCACTTAGTATGTGCCCTGTGAGGAAAGAAGATTTGTCTCAAATCCCTTAATACTCCCTTAAGTGTCTTAAGTAAATGCTGACAATCCAATTCAACTAATATTTCCTAAGCACCTACTTACTGCCCACTACTACATGTGCTACAAGCCAGCAACGCTCACATGGATAAGCTACAGTCCTTGCCCTCAGGGAGGTCACAGTCAATTCTGAAGAAGTAACATCAGAATATAATTGTTCTACAGGCTGGGCATGGTGGCTCATATCTGTAATCCCAGTATTCTGGGAGGCTGAGGCAGGCAGATCACTTGAGGTCAGGAGTTTGAAACCAGCCTGGCCAACATGGTGAAACCCAGTATCTAATAAAAATACAAAAGTTAACCAGGCATGGTGGCAGGCGCCTATAATCTCAGCTACTTGGAGGGCTGAGCCAGGAGAATCATGTGAACCTGGAAGGGAGAGGTTTTAGTGAGTCAGGATCACACCACTGCACTCCAGCCTGAGCGAAAGAGCTAGACTTCATCTCAAAAACAAACAAAAAGAATACAATTGTCATATATTCTTCTTAAGGGTTAAAGTGGGTTTCACTTTTTTCTCCTGGCAGTTCCAGGCTTCTCTTCCAGATTTTCCTACCTAATAACTATTTAGCATCTAGCTCCATTTAAACTGAATAGAAAGCTCAAGCTACCACTTTCTTTTGATTAAGATCAAGCACTGACACAAGTCTTTATTTTTAGCAGGTGAAGATATGTCGGTAAAGGATATGGTAGGAAGTGTGCAAAATAGTCAGTGTGATCCTTGCTATCAAAGGCAACAGCAGCTACATCATTAGAACTTAAGCAGCAGCAACTGCATATGCCTAGGAAGGCCCTCACTGGTCAGCGTCACATCAAGCCTCGCCTAGCATCATGCCATACAAAGCATTTCCCTTCTCCTAATGTATAACTTAACACTTTACCAAATAAAGTTTAGTTATATCTGTTTCAATTTAAAAGACAAGCAAAACAAAGTGGAATTGACTTTACACTTTTGGGGACAATACGTACTTCTCCTTTCCTTCTAAAAATTAAATTCAAAACTAAGTCGAAGCCAGGTGTGAGCCACCAGCACTTTGGGAGGTTGAGGCAGGCGAACTGCTTGAGCATGAGAACTTGAGACTAGCCTGAGCAACACAGCAAGACCTCATTTCTACAAAAAAATTAGCCGGGTAAAGTGGCTCATGCCTATGGTCCCAAATGCTTGAGAGGCTGAAGTGGGAGGATCGTTTGAGCCCAGGAGGTTGAGGCTGCAGTGAGCCATGAGTACACCTTCGCATTCCAGCCTGGGAGACAGAGTGAAACCTCGTCTCGATCAATCAATAAAACTAAGTTGACCTAATAAATAAAAGAGCTGATTAAAAGAATCACAAACAACTCACAACAAACCATCAGGCTTTACTTTATTAAAAGCCTTGTCCACACATAGCCATTAAAAACAGTTCCCATGAAACTACTTATCAGCTCTCTAAATTGTAGGCAGGGTCTTTATTTCTACTCCTCCAAGATCCCGCCTTCTTACCTCATCCACACCCCTTTCAGAAGGAAGAATGCCCTTGTGAAGAAGGAACGGGCCTCCAGCCATTGGGGTTTTGTTCTGAGTCTGGAGAACAGCCCCAGAGCCAAACTGAGAAATCAAGAAGCTAAGAATGCTGGAACTTACCCAGACTCCCTCAGGGGGAGTCAACTCCACCTCAGAGGCACACCAATGGTAGACCCAATGGATAACACAGGGATGGCTTTGCTGCAAGAATGCATTAAAATGGACAGCAATAGGTCTGGTTGCTTCCTTCTACATAAAGCTACTATAAGCTTAAAGTTGGATGAGACAGAAGTAGGGGGAGAAACAACTAGAAATGTCCGCCTCCATTTCACAACACAGAATATTAGAAGTGAAGGACAGCTGTGAAGTGACATGGTCCAGCTATCTCATCTCACACATGGAGAAATGAAGCCCTGAGAAGTAAATGACTTGTCCAAAGTCATACAGCTCAACAGTGGCATAAACCTCAATGAGAACTCAGCGCTTCCATGAGTACAACACAACACAGCTATTGATCAGAAAATGTCACACATCTCTTCCGGATTTGGGTACCTCTTTAGTCCTTCAGAGAAATACATGTTTCTTCACCTGATAACCTTTCTTCAGGCACCTGAATGAGTCTGCTTATTTCAAAGCTAACGTGGAAAAGAGTTACGAAACAAAAAGCAAAGTACCAACCTGGAACAAACGTAGTAAGGTATTCAAACCATTGCCTGATTGTTGAGTCACCAAATAAATGCACCACTTTTCTTTGTAAGCACTCTGTAATGTTGTCAGGGTCATTAAACTGACGCATCTTAAACTTTCTGGGCCTCCACTGGTCTTTATAATAATACCCAGAGGGAAAAGTTCCTGAGCTTTGAGATAGTTCTAGATTATTAGTCTCTGAAAAAAAAAAAGAAAAAAATATATTTAATATTATCCTCCAACAACAGATGAAAGATGTCCCAAGAAACAATTATGCCCATGTATTTTTGTTAGCCTGCTGGCATGTGGGAAACATTTCCTGCTGTCAGATCTCAAATCCCAGACTTTTCTCCTGATTAAAAAAAGGTTTTCTGCAGCCATAAAAAAAGAATGAGTTCATGTCCTTTGCAGAGACATGGATGAAGCTGGAATCCATCATTTTCCGCAAACTAACACAGGAACAGAAAACCAAACACCACATGTTCTCACTCGTAAGTGAGAATTGAACAATGAGACACACAGACACAGAGAGGGGAACATCACACACTGGGGCTGTCAGGGGGTTGGGGACAAGGGGAGGGAGAGCATTAGGACAAGTACCTAACGCAGGCAGGGCTTAAAACCTAGATAATGGGTTGATAGGTGCAGCAAACCTATCAGCCATGACACATGTATACCTATATAACAAACCTGCACACTCTGCACATATATCCTAGAACGTAAAGTAAAAAAATTTTTTTAAGTTTTCTTTTGTACAAAATGGACAAATATGAAATAGGCATAAGGATACTGGTGGACAGAAAGGCAAAGGGGGACTTTCAGCATTCCCTCTGACTACATTTTTTTTTTTTAATGAACTCACTCTTTTTGCCCAAGCTGGAGTGCAGTGGAGCAATCTCAGCTCACTGCAACCTCCACCTTCTGGGTTCAAGCAGTTCTCCTGCCTCAGCCTCCCGAGTAGCTGGGATTACAGGCACACACTACCATGCCTGGCTAATTTTTGCATTTTTTGCAGAAACAGGGTTTCACCATGTTGGCCAGGCTGGTCTCAAACTCCTGATCTCAAGCGATCTGCCCGCCTCGGCCTCCCAGAGTGCCGGGATTACAGGCATGTGCCACCGTGTCCGTCCTGATTATGTATGTTTTTATCAAAGCCAAATATAAAGGAATATAAAAGCCAAGGAAATGTGTGGACACAAGCATTTATCCAGCATTATCCCACAATAGAACAGTTTCTCACCCACACACCTATGAGGCAAGTAACAACTTAGACTGATATTTTACACATACAGAGTAGTATTATTTCACTGTTTTCAGCCCACTAAAAGCAAAGTTAGAATCCATGAATCCTACCTTCAAATTTTAATTTCAATTCCAAAAAAAAACTACTTAATATAGAGAACAAACTAATGGCATACAATCTAAAGGATTATTCTTCATAATACCAAAGGTTCAGAAAGCCTTTATACATAACGAACAATACTAAAAATACATCACCAATGTGTACTCCTGGCTGTAACCTAGCTACACATGATAGCACAAGCAAAAGCACACCGTTCAGAGGGAGAGTCAACATCCTGCTGCCCTAACACCTCCTGTGGAAACAACACACATTACATGCTTCAAAATAGATTGTGATGGCTAATAGTTCTTGCAAGTTTACTCTGCATCAGAAACTATCCTGAGCAAACATATTATCTCATATGCTCACAGTAACTCTTTAAAGTAGGTCCCATTACTGTCCCTGCCGTTTTTTGTTATTTGAAGATAATGTCTCTATATCTCTAAAACTTCTTGGCTTCTCTTTAAAGCCCATGGTTTGCATTTTCTTCCAAAGGCTGTCATCCATGTAATCCGTTAGCCATGAGGGCTATCTGGGCCAAAAATGCAACAAAATGAGAGAGAAAAAGGCAGAGAGACAAATTTTCCTAAATCATCCAGAAAGAGCTGGATGAAAAGGACACAGAATAAGCAACTTGACCAAGGTCCCCGAGCTGAGCTCATAAGGAGCGAAGCCAGGACCTGGCCCAGGCAGGGGAGCCCCCCATGATCTTAACCACTGAGCTAGAGCACATCTCAAAACAAGACATTTACAGATGTCAGCCATTTCTTTTTTTTTTTTTTCAAGGTATACATTTATTCATTTCAAACATACAATCTTCCAGAAACCACCAGTTTATATCATTTTCTTACACAACCTTAGTCGCAATCCAGTCATTCTATAGTCACCTATAAAGCCACAATTTGGAATTTAAATGCTTACACAACTCAGAAATTTAAATTTGAGTGAGTCCCCTATTTGTGACTATTTTTAGCTTTATTTGACTCGACACTATCTGTGTTGCTCAAAATTATTTTGGTTTTTCTCCCTCCAATGATGATGCTCTATTTGACAGAGAATGCATATATGTAATCTTTTTTCTTAGGCATCTGCTAATTCTTTGCAGGTTCAGAGCCCAAGTAGAAAAGGAAACTGAATGCTGATTTTAAAAGCTTTTTTGGTAAATGTGATTATCAAAGAAAAATTGGGAGGTAGGGTAAGTATTTCCTTGGCTTGTTCAAAAACAATTTCTAAACATATTATCAGGTGTAGCTTTACCACTTTACTGCACCTTCTGCAAAGCTCCCTCATTATATCAGTACATCAAGGCTGCATAGCTAGAGAGCTCCAGACACGACACCAAGGGCCCACAGAAAACATTTACTAGAACAAGAATTAAAAGTAATTTTGACGTTACAATTTTTTACCACTGTTAATTCGGTAGACTCGGCTATTCTGTGTCAAATATGTGTTATAAAGAAAAGTATATGGCACACAGGAAACAATTACCATTTCCATTCAAATGTTAATTATATTTACTACGAGAGTTAAGTCATGCAACGCAAATCAATTACTAAATCTGACGTTAATTCTTTAAACATGCCACATGCTACATGAGAAAAATTTTTTTTAATTTTTAAAATGAAATGCACGTACCTACACTGCCCCCTTAAGGTCAGCTGGGACAAAAACATTTTCTGACAATTTACATTTAAGAAGTCTGTGGCTGTTTAAACGGTGTTTCTTGTAACTCAGAATGCATTTCATGTAAGATAACTGAGATATAAAAGTCTCCTAAATAGATTATATAACCCCCAATGTACTATTCACATGGAATAAAAATAAAACAAAAAAAATGAAAATGAGTTATTACCCAACTTTATGGTTATCTTGAATATTGCTGGTAAAGGAAAAAGTTTAAACAGGGGTGGTTGTAGAAGTAGATAGGAAGATCTGTGTAAAACGAGAAGGGACATTTTTTGTTATTTGAAGATAATGTCTCTATATCTCTAAAACTTCTTGGCTTCTCTTTAAAGCCCATGGTTTGCATTTTCTTCCAAAGGCTGTCATCCATGTAATCCGTTAGCCAAATGAGGGCTATCTGGGCCAAAAATGCAACAAAATGAGAGAGAAAAAGGCAGAGAGATAAATTTTCCTAAATCATCCAGAAAGAGCTGGATGAAAAGGACACAGAATGAATTAAGGCAGGGCGGCGGGCGGGGGGCACCAGGTGAGCATGTGTAACAAACCTGTCCCTTAATTTTATGGTACAGAAATGTCTGCAGAATTAAGAACAGTAAAAGGCAGGACAAAGGGAGTACACAGCAAAGAAAAGACAGAAGAAATGGGATCAACCAACTCCTTGCACCAGAGACTGCCATGAGCATAGGAAGCTTGGGATAAGGTCAATAGGGGGAGATAGCCCTCGACAGGGTGAGGAATGGAGGCAGTGTGTCCTGAGCTGGTTAGGAACACTCTGTCAAGCGCTGGGAATATAAGAAGGACCCAGCTACACAGTAATTGTAATGGCTTAAGTTTGAGTTTACTCCTTGAATTCCCCCTATGAAACCTTGGAAATTTATTTTTCTTTCCTATATATTTTAGGGCTCACCTTATTTGTTTACTGTCTCTCATCACTGTGTTTTATTGTCTGATGCCTAGTGTCTGGAAAACCATTGTTTTATGTATTTTGGCTTTTTTTTTCCTTGAGTTGTTTCATGTGGGAGGCTAAATCGCATTACTGTTTCTCTATCTTGGCTGAAAGTGGAAGTTTGAGGGACTTGAATTTGAGGAGAAGGAGGATATAGAGAAGCTGAAGAGGAGGAGAGGATGAGATCTACAGCACAGATGGAGCATATAACCTTCTATAGGACAAGGAACATGAGTATATTGTGAGTATTCTTGTTATTTTATTAAGTATATAGGAGGAGCCGTGTTCCTTCCTCTGACCTAAAAGGGAAAGAAAGCTGTTATGATGGTTGGCAATGCAGATACATTTGCTGCCAGAGAGTAGGACATTCGGGGATTTTCTGGCTGTAAAGGAGATGGAAGGTAGAAGGAGGGTGGAGCCCAGGAGGTTTGTGTACAGGGGTTTGAAATAATAGTTTTCTAGTTGGAGTTTGAAATAATGGATTTCTAGATGGAGTAGGATGGCAGTGGGACAATAAATTTCAAGACCTTAAGTGTGCATGGCACTCACCTGCATGGGTTTTGTGAGTGTGTATGCTAATTTTCTCATATTCAACAGACTAGATACTATAATAGAGAAAAAAAGATAGTTGTGTAGGTCTTGGGTAGAGGAGGGGGAAGGTAAAGGGAGGGTAGGCTACAGTCCTGCAACAGCAATGTTATGACAGTCAGGAAGGAATGTTAGAAAATTCCCCTTTTGTTCTACTTTAGTTCTTGGAAACTTCTGTACTTAATGCTAGTTAAAAGCTCTAATGATCTGAACAAACCAACTCTTCTCTACTGAATGGAGAAGGGAGATATCAATATTGGATAAACAGTTCTGATACTGTTGCTGGCAGAATTCAGTTACTTGTGGTTGTAAGACTGAGTTTCCCATTTCCTTGTTGGTTATCAGCCAGGAGATGCCCTCTACCTCCTGGAAGTTGCCTATATTCCTAGCCAGGTTGCCCCCTTCATCTTTAAAATCAGCAATGAAGAATCTCTCTCACCTGGAATCCTTCTTACACTTTGAATCTCTTTCTTCAGGAAGAGCATGGCCCTGTTAAGGGCTTATCTGATATAAGGTCAGGTCTACCTAGGATAATATCAGTCTCTTAAAGTCAACTTTGAAATATAACATAATCAAATCACAGGAATGATATACCATCATATTTATATGTCCCTCCCATACTTACAGGGCAGGAGATTACGTAAGAGCACAGATCACTGTTAGTCATCTTAGTATTCATCCTACCGTAGCTACAAAGATACACACAAATATAAAACTTCGTTGTTCTTATCTATACCGTTGCTATTAGATCGAGTCTTATCCCAAACTCTCAGTAAGTTCCCCCAAAAAATATAAGCTCAAGTTGTTGATGAGGTTAGAATCTGTCGGGGTCCCTGAGCCACTTAGCTGTGATAATCTGCGGACCACATTACAGGTACTAATGAAAATTCCACAGTAATTCTAGCAACGGGAAAACGTGACATAAACCAGACGCTTGCCCTTAATAAGGTAGTCAACTCGAGTTAAAAACTGTTTTTCCTTGCTTTTGCCTGGAATTATGTCCACAAGTAGCAGTAGCATTGGCAATCTCAAGCAATCTAAATATGAATCTTAACCATAATTTTACCTTGTAAGAATATTAGCTAACACATATACAATTTCATATTCGCTAATACATAAATACAATTTCATAGGGAAAAGGTTTCAAAATATAGGATTCGTAAGTGAAAAAGTAGAAATACTATAAACCCCTTCTTTTTTTTTTTTTTTTTTTTTTTTTTTGAGACGGGGGTTTTTCTCTTTTTACCCAGGCTGGAGTGCAATGGCGCGATCTCGGCTCACCGCAACCTCCGCCTCCTGGGTTCAGGCAATTCTCCTGCCTCAGCCTCCTGAGTAGCTGGGATTACAGGCACGTGCCACCATGCCCAGCTAATGTTTTGTAGTTTTAGTAGAGACGGGGTTTCACCATGTTGACCAGGATGGTCTCGATCTCTTGACCTCGTGATCCACCCGCCTTGGCCTCCCAAAGTGCTGGGATTACAGGCTTGAGCCACCGTGCCCGGCCACTATAAACCCCTTCTAATGCTGAGCCAAAGAAAACACAAGACAAGCCTCCAGTATCTTGTGGAGCCAGAAAGTAAGGAAGTGCTGAAAACAAACAAACGGATGACAGCACACAGGATGACAAAGAGGCCAGACTGAAAGCGTTCCCAACTGCCAAAACGGGAATGATTTGAGAAAAAGAAAAGAATGATTGAACTGGATTATAACCCAAAGAATGAAATAATCATGAGTCTACACTGATATAAATACTTAAAGTGAAGAAGGGACAACTCTTCTTTGCAGAAGAATTCCAACTAATAAATGTTGAAAGAATGAGAGACATAAAAAGTCACCATTAGAATGCCTCAGAAATCACTGCTACAGGCAAGATCTGATGAACCTTGATGAATGCTAAAATTGGTTGGTGAAAGGTTTTTGTTTGTCTGTTTTGGGTTGCTTTTTTTTTTTTTTTTGCAGTAATTGGTAACAAGGTTGGTGAAAGTTTAAGCAGAAACAGAATGCTTGCCTAGAATGAAGCTGAAAAGGAAAGAAAAATATGAGCCCTTGATTTAGGGTCTTTGAGTGCCCCCTGCTGGTCACTAGCATGAAATTCAATGAAGTTGTGCCAAGCTGGGTTCCCTCTATATTCCATAAAGCAATTGCCCTTCTCTTTTCTTTCCAATTATACACCTGTCGCAAGATGGTTTTCCTATTCAAAACCAGGATTTTCTGCCCCTACTAATTCAAAATTACTTTTTTCCTCTAAAAATATATCAAAAAGCTCAGTAATTACCAAATCTATCTTCCCTCTAAACAGAAGAGTAAATCATAAGCCCATGGCCACTTCCTGGCTGATCCTCAAGACTTGTCAGGTACAGGCAAACTTTCCAAAGTTCCTCCCACTAACCATCCCTGGTTCACCTAGGGCATCACAATAAGGGCAAGCCAGTCGAGTCTGTGAGAAAGGACGGACGGATCCAGCAGTGGGAGACAGGGCCTCCTGAGGATGTCAGACATGGAGAGTGTTTAGAGCAGACACCATGTCTACCGACACCTTGACCTCAGGGTTGAGGCCCAAACGGATAAAAGATAAATATTTCCACTATTGATGCCTCGCATATATGTCCTCTAAAATTAGTAATTCATTTGGTTCAAGTAAATCAGATACGGCTCTTCTTCAGGAAAAGACTGGGAATTCTTGTGGCATACGACACAGCAGAGACAAGAGATATAAACTGGCAGTGCTCTGGCTGCATATAGGCCAAGCAAATTTTATTTAGCCCATACGATATTTTAAAAGTCTTGAATTGGATGTTGATGTTCTAAAATCTGGAGATACCACATTTAAAAATTCGAAGTTCCAGTTTCTCTTGGAAAAAACAAATCTACGGATCTGGCCACAAGCAGTTTGTTTCTTCATGGTAACTAAAAAGAGACTGCCCCTTGAGACAGTTTTTGCTCTTCAGTTCCTTCCCCAGCACCCACACAAGGGATGTGGCTAATATCCACTCTGCTCTATCCACATGCATTAAATGTCAAGCCCCTGCAGCAAAAGGGTTTGCGACATCTGCAGAGTACAGTACTATGAGTTAACACACTTCTAAAACCTAAAAGGACCTCGCCTGCCATCTGCTTAAGCCTCACTAGTAACGTGCATTCCTTCCTTCTAAAAATCACGAGAGCTAATTATATCTATTCTGCAAAAACATAACATAAACTTTTACTCCTCTGAATTTGTTCTTCTACTATAATATTGTACACCAATAAATCAGCATCACCTGAAAAGTTTGTTAAAACATAAACTGCTGGGCCCCACCTGCCAGGGTTTCTGTTTCAGTAGCCGAAATGGGAACTGAGAATTTGCATTTCTATCAGATCTCCTGGTAATGCTGATGCCGCTGATCCACAGATCACACTTTGAGAACATCTGCTATTCTCCAACCCAAATTTTTTTTATTTTAAACATTTCCATGATAATTTTACCTATATTTCTCAAGTATCTCTAGAGTAGCAATATCCAATCAACTTTTTGTTGGTATAAAATGCTGTCTACCTATAGCTACTGGGCATGTGTGATTAAATAACTAGATTTTGAATTTTATTTCATCTTAATTTAAATTTGAATCACTACATGAAACTAGTTGCTATCGTATTGGACAACACTGTTAAAAGGACTCTTGAAGAGCCAAACAGAAGAGGAGGTCTAGCAAGAAACGAAAACTTTTACATGAGCATAAATAGCATAACTCAGCCGGGCACATGTCTGCTATCCCAGCACTTTGGGAGGCCAAGGTGAGAGGACTGCTTGAGCTCAGGAGTTCAACCATCCTGGGCAACATGGCAAAAATCTATCTCTGGAAAAAAAAAAAATACAAAAATTAGCCAGGTGTGGTGTGCGCCTATAGTCCCAGCTACTCGGGAGGCTGAGGTGGAAGGATCACTTAAGCCCAGGAGGTCAAGGCTGCAGTGAGTCAAGACTGCGCAACTACACTCCAGCCTAGGTGACAGAACAAATAAAATAAAATAAAATAAAATAACAATAAATAGCAAAACTGAGAATTATGCACACAAGATTTGATTTATCAAACGGTACTTTTAATATTTTCAATTGCCCCCAGAAGTAACTATGGCATATAAGTTTTTACAACATAAATGAAACGACAGAGCCTCAACTGCTTAGTAAGAAAAACAACAAATCATCAAGCTTATTTTTTTTTTACCTTTTATTCTCCTGGGAATCACAGTTACCCAATCAGGTCCACTGGAGTTGATTGGCATTTTGATATTGACACCACTTTAAGAGGAATAAAAAAGTACAAGCTTAGGTTCTGGAATATTTATTTTCAGATATATGTCTTTATTAGCAAATGTTAAAATGACAAATTTCATGGAGCCTTATGATGATGAAACATACTTATGTTAACCAACACAAATAATAAACTGGGTCTCTTATAATAAGCAGGTTATGTGTACATATAAACTGAAAAGAAATTAAATTGATTCTTAAATTTCAATGCACTCTACACTGCTAAGAGTGCAAACTCCAAAATGACCAATTCTGGTCTGAATTACGTACTCCCCTTGGACTCAGAGGGTGGCTCACACTGACAAGAATGTCTATTTTGTCATTACCTAGTTTTCAGGCTGCAACTACAGGCTGCATCAAGTCATGAGTCAGATTCCTTAGGCCTTTTCCAGATCTGAGAGAAGCCCTGCTGGGGACACTTGCCCCCCAAGATATGTACTCATGAAGTACTCTGTTTATCATTACAGGACTCTTCAGTGTTGGTTCTCCTTACTAAAACATACACTACTCGAGGGAGGCAGCGGGGAAAAATAAAAGGAAACAAAACACACACTAACCAAAGACAAGGATGGTGCCTCATTCACCTTTGTATCCTAGCACAGGCCCTGGTCTAGAGTCCATACTCAGTCAATATTTTTGGAGGGCTGCATTAAAACGTGGGGGAGGCTGAAGGAAAGGATAAAAGCACTGAAAATCCAAGGTAACTATTCCAGAAACTGAGTCACAGTAAAACTAGGCCTCTTGTACTTAGACCAAAAACAAAAAATAAAATGTCAACTTTCCAAACTCTTGATATGGGAATGTGAAGCCATTTTTTATTATTTCATCAATTTCAGAAAAAAACTGTTTATTCAATAAATACACAAAATAGTTCTTAAGCTTCTTAAGCCAGGTACTGTCCTAGACTCCCAGGCTATTACAGTAAGGAAAATACACAGCCTTTCCTTCTTCATGGAGCTTACATAGAGGAGGCAGACAAAAACAAGGAATGAAGGAAATACGCAGGCCTGGCTACATTAGAGAATAATCGAATTTCATAGATTAAATAAAGTGATTTTTTAAGAGAGCACATATAAACTACTTTCATGAGCTTAGAGCTTTATGGTAAAGAAAAAAGAAATATAATTTACTTCTCTATGTTATAATCATTATTTCATTATTATATAATAATCATCTTGCAAAAACATAATTTCCATTTTTGCAGGAAAATTTCTTCTATAATTTTCCTGCAAAAATATTTAGCCTCAATCTAATCACATGGAAAGTAGAAACAATAAAGCAAATCCAAAGTAGACTGAGCATGGTGGCTCACATCTGTAATCCCAACACTTTGAAAGGCCGAGATGGGCGGATCTCCTTGAGGCCAGGGGTTTGAGACCAGCCTGACCAACACGGCAAAACCCCACCTCTACTAAAAGTACGAAAATTAGTCAGGTGTGGTGGTGCACGCCTAGTAGTCCCAGCTACTCGGAAGGGTGAGACACAAGAATCACTTGACCCCAGGAGGGAAGGTTACAGTGAGCCAGGATCATTGTATTGCACTCCGGCCTGGGTGACAGAGCAACACTCTGTCTCAAAAAAAAAAAAAAAAAAAAGTAAAGGACATTTATAAAACAGCAACATCAAAACTGCCAATGCCATACAAAACAAATAAGCTAAAGAAAAAGAACTCTTTGGGATTAAAGAGAGAACCAAACACACTGTGTAATCATAGATTAGATTAGTTAAAATTAAAAAGATAGCTATAAAAGTCATCATTGGGACAACTGAAGAAACGTGAATATCTAACATGAACTGCATATTAGGTAACAGTACTGTAATGATGATAAATGTCCCAAATGTGATCATTATGCTTATATGTTAGAGAAAGTCCATTGTCTTAGGAGAGGCATATTTATGGAGTGCAGTGACATGATATCTGCAACATACTCTCACATGGTTCGGGGGAAAAAATTATACACAGATACATATAAACACAGAGAGACATAGAACAAAATGTGGCAAAACATTAATAATAGTGAATCTAAGAGTTCACTATTATTCCTGCAATGTTTCTAAAGATTCCATTTTTTTAATACAAAGTTAAAAAGAAAAAAGTAGCAATCATGCTAAAATAAAGGGAAATGTTTTAGGTGATAAGCCCATTCTTTTAAAAGGCCTTCCCTTATATTAATTGGGTCTTTAAGGAAAGACCTGTTGTTCTTTCCAAGAGTAACATTTTTATTCCCTTATAAGAATAAAGATGATATCCTTTAATTGTTCAACTGTCATTTACAGAACCAAATACCAAGGCTAAGCTTCTTAATTCTTTCTGATTTAAGTAAGGTTATGAGTCCCCAAGGAAGAGAAGTAAAAAGGTTATCAGCTCAACATATTTGGGCCATAAGTTCACAACAATAAACCCAAAAATCCCCAAAAAAAATCAATATCAGTATTTTTCTTTTCAGATAGCCTTATGTAATATTTCAGAAGTTTTAACAGAACAAAGGACAAAAAAATGAAAATCAATTATCAGGACTCTGTCAAACGTTTGCTTTCCAAAAACTTATGCCACCTCAAACACTGTTTTCTCAGCAACCTTTCAGGTAAGTAGAATTCTGCAATTATTCTACAACAATGTACCATCAGCCAGCCTCACCCAGGACATGCAAGAAAGGGCAGTGACAAACATTATTTTATCCTTGTTGGTTCATGGGTGTTTTTTGTTTTGAATAGTAGAAAGTCAGAAATACTTTTAGGTTTCACACTAATTTAGTTCTCTAACCTTTCTCTATTTTCCACATGGAATTTGAGTAAATTACTGTGCTTCTTCCTCTTTGCTAGGCCACTATGTAGACTGACAACAAACTCTATAGGACAATTATAGCTAACAATCATTTACGATATATTTCAAAACAATTATGACAGTGGAACTGGAATGTTCCTAACACAAAGAAATGGTAAATTCTTGAGGTAATGGATACTCCAATTACCTTGATTTGATCATTATATATTATATGCTTGTATCAAAATATCATATCTACTTCAAAAATATATGCAAGTATTGTACTTTAGGTTCTGGGGAAAAAATGAAAAAGAAAAAATATATATATGCAAGTAGTATGTATCCATAATTTAAAAATCTAAAAACACAACTCTAACGGGGCAAGGTGGCTCCCATCTGTAATCCCAGCCCTTTGGGAGGCCAAGGCAGGGGGACTACTTGAGCCCAGGAGTTTAGGCCATTCCGGAAAACATAATGGGCCAGGCACGGTGGCTCATGCCTGTAATCCCAGCACTTTGGGAGGCTGAGGTAGGTGAATCACCTGAGGTCAGGAGTTCAAGACCAGCCTGGCCATCACGGTGAAACCCCATCTTTAAAAAAAAAAAAAGAAAGAAAGAAAAAGAAAACATAATGAAACCACATTTCTACAAAACATACAAAAATTAGCTGGTTGTGGTGGTGCAAACCTGTAGTCCAAGCTATTCGGAAGGCTGAGGTGGGAGAATCGCTTGAACCCAGGATGTCAAGTCTGCAGTGAGCCATAATCATGCTACTGCACTCCAGCCTGGATGACAAAGCAAGGCCCTGTTGCAAAACGAACAAACAAATCCTCTACAATAGGGTAAATGAGTAGTCTTCATACATAGACAAAAAAGTACACGGAAATAAAATAATCTGCTTAGTCACTGATAAACGGCATGTCTGAAACCTGAATCCAGGAATAAAATGAAAAATTCTGTTTTGGTTTTGAAATTTAATTTTGTTTTCATTTTGTACTGAGCCACAGAAAATACTAGTCTTCTCAGCAGTAAACACTGTACATTGAGTGCTCCCTCTGCTGGCCTTCTAAAAGTATGGCATGAATCTACTACAGTATACATATATGTAACCTGGTATGACCAAAAGCTGACTACAGGGTGGAAAACTGAAGCGTTTTATTTTAGGAGCGCCTACAAACCACATACTTTATGATAGCAACTCTTCTCCCATCCAGTAATGAGTGGACATAAACTATGAAAATTTTTAGATTGCCCAGATGTACTTAACAAAAATACCTCCCTTTTATGCAATAAAAAAATCCTCTCTACCAAGGAATGTTTAAAAACAATATATTTCATTAAAAAGTAAAAAACATGTATACATTATTTCAAACAATGGTACTTTTTTGGTTGAGACAGGGTCTCACTCTGTTGCCGAGGCTGTAGTGCAACTGTGATCATATTCGCTGCAACCTCAAATTCCTGGGCTCCAGCCTTCCTCCCACCTCAGCCTCCCAAAGTGCTGAGTCATGAGCCACCACACCTGGCCAAAATGGTACTTTGTAACCAAGTAGCTTTCACAATTTTTTATTTCTTAGTGATGTTATGGAATATTGAAGAAAACACAAATTTTAATTCATACTGGTTTCATATTCCTTTCTCAACATTATTCCATATATTTATCATCATGCTCAAAATATGCTCATATTTGAAACAGAAATTTGAACACATTACTGCAATAATTTTAACAACTATTTAGCTTAAAAAATATAAGTTTCTGTGGCATTCCTAGCTTCCAATGCTTATTATTAAGTCCACCCAGCAATGTTGCCATATTCATAGTTTTTTAATCAATATGTTCAAATGATTTTAAACACTGATATTATATCACTTTTAAAAGTTTCAGTTCATTAGATACAAATATAAAATACCAGCCTGACTACTAGCCCTACCAGCCCTGTTCTTGGATTATTTTTTTCTTTGCATAAAATAGATGGGGCCTTGCTATGTTGCCCAGGCTGGTCTCAAACTCCTGGGCTCAAGCGATCCTCCCATCTCAGCCTCCTAAAGTGCTGGGATTATAAGCATGAGTCACCACACCTGGCCCTTGGATCATTTTTTATCTGTTCTGTGAATAAGGGATTTTGCTTACACAGCTACTATGTAAACATGCTATGTAGTTTGAAAGTCAAACACAGATATGAGGGTAAAGAACAAAAATTCAAGGGTAAAAGGTCTTTAATTTGGACTTGGATAAGCACTAAGCTTCACTTTTAAAACACTAAAGAAAAATACAAATATATGGGTTTTTTTTAAATTCAATATCTCTTCTGAATTGGGTCAAGTTGAAAGAGAAATAAGAAACACATACCCAATACCACAAAGTCTCCTAAATGGGACAAGAACAGTGGAAAATAACTCTTCAAACTATCCCCCCAAAAAAGCAGCACATACCTCTGGAAGAATGCACTCTCTGCAGCAGTTAGGAGACCCTTCAGGTATCCACCTTTGAAATGAGTAATTCTGCTACTGCAAGGGAGCTTCTTTGGTTTGAAGCAGAACCAGGGTTCCCCAGTGTAGAGGTCTGTAAAGTTACACAGGGGCAGATTCCCAGGAAGACACACGTTGCACTCAGTAGTTTCAGAAATTCTTCCTGAACGGAAGAGACTCTTGAAATAGACCCTGTCTGGTTTATCTTCCTGTAAGTGCTGAAGAACTCTGATCCCTTCACTGGGGTGGACCAAAGATATGGACACTTTAACTTTGCCTGGCCATAGCAAAGTAAAGAAAACTTTGTAAAACCCATTCTGGTAGTCCACCACCCTGCCCACAGCCCCGGCCTGCAGCTTGGGGGAGTGAATTCTGGCCTGCAGATAGTCTCCACCATACTTCTTGGGCTTTCTTTGAAAATCCTGTACATGAACCAGTACCTCCAGCTGGCTTCCCACCTTAAAGAAGGCAGCAGAGTTCAAGATAACAAAGTAGCTGGAAGAAGGGTCAGTGCTCTTCACAAAGGGGACTGGGCCCACATCTGGAACCTGTCCGTGCAAGGCGGCCAGCAAGGAGTCCTCCTCCATGCGCTCCTGGCTGGACAGGGTCTGCTGATCATAGCCACAGTAGGGATTCCGGCTAATTCTTGTCACCTGGGGGGAAACAAACTGCCCACTGCTGTCGATGAATGTGGCTGAAACAGTCTCATGGTCCAAGTACTGAAGAAGAAGACACAAACAACAGAAATTACCACTATATGTCTCTGTATTTTTGGCATAAATTCACAGAGGGCTCCCCATATTTCTGTGAGTTTTAGCTCCAGGAGCTCAATCAGATTCTCACAGTAAATATCAAAGAAAAATCCCCTTGGGCTTCTGGCAAGGGAAAGGAAATGGACCCATTTTGAAGTATGCAGAACACTGTGTTGTTCTTAACAAAGCGGCTGCTGAAGAGAAAGTCCTTTATCAGAACCTAGCATACTGGAGCTTTATCAGAGCCTAACCAAACTGAGAGAAGGGAAGTACCTAACTCCAGCCCTTTCTAGCCACCCAGTCCAACCTAAGAGGGGGAAACACCCAGAAAAAAGTAAAGTAAAGGGCTGGACAAAGATATACCATGCTAACACTAATCCAAAGAAAGCAGCAGTAGCTATATTAATTTCAGACAGAGCAGATTTCAAAGCAAGGAAAGTTATCAAAGATAAAGAGGGTTGGCCAGGCACGGTGGCTCAAGCCTGTAATCCCAGCACTTTGGGAGGCCAAGGTGGGTGGATCACAAGGTCAAGAGATCGAGACCATCCCGGTCAACATGGTGAAACCCCGTCTCTACTAAAAATACAAAAATTAGCTGGGCATAGTGGCACACGCCTGTAGTCCCAACTACTCGGGAGGCTGAGGCAGGAGAATTGCTTGAACCCAGGAGACGGAGGTTGCGGTGAGCCGAGATCGCGCCATTGCACTCCAGCCTGGGTAACAAGAGCGAAACTCCGTCTCAAAAAAAAAAAGATAAAGAGGGTTATCACATAATAATAAAGGAGTCAATTCTCCAAATAACAACCCTTAACATGTATGTAACCAACCAATGAGTATCAAAATATGTGAGGCACAAACTAACAGAGAAATAGATGAATCTACATTATAGTCTGAGACTTCAACACTCCTCTACCAGAAATAGATCCAGTAGGCTGAAAATTGGTAAGGACATGGTTGAATTCAACAGCACCATCAATAAACTGGATATAGCTGACATCTGTAAACTACTTCTTATCAAGTTTGCGTGGAACATTAACCAAAACAGTCCACATTCTGGACCATAAAATGCACCTTAACAAATTTTTAATAATAAAAATCATACGGTATCTTGTCTTAAGCCATAATGAAATTAAACTAGAAATCAATAATAGAAAGATAGCTGGAAAATCCCAAAATAGTATACAAATGGACAACATACAAAATCTCATGAGAAATTTAAAAATATTTTTAATTAGGAGAAGGTAAAAATATAATTTATTAAACACTATAGGATAAAGCAAGAGAAATGTTTAGAGGGAAATACATAGTTCTACACATATTTTAGGAAAGAAAAATGACCTAAAATCAATAATTTAAGCTTACATCTTAGGAAATTAGAAAAAGAAGAGCAAACAATATCCAAAAATAAGCAGAAGAAAAATTAAAAATATGAGAGCAGAAATCAATGCAGTTGAAAACAGGAAATCAATAAAGAAAAATCAATCCCAAAGCTGTTTTTTTAAAAGATCAATAAAATTGATAAGCCTCTACCAGGCTTTAAAAAACAGAGAGAGAAAGGATACAAATTACTAAATCAGAAATGAAAGAGAGGCCATCACTACAGATCCCATGGACATTAAAGGGATAAAGGAATATTATGAACAACTCTATGTCCACAAATTTGATAATCCAGATGAAATGGACCAATTCCTTGAAGGGCACTATCCATAAAGAATGCACCTAATGATGCAAAAGTAATATTATAACTAGTGGAAAACAAATATAAAAGAACGAAGTCGTGCTTTCTTCATCACTTAGAGTAGGAAGTTAAGATATGTTATCTCATGCTGTTGGGAAAATAAAAGGTCTAAATACATTATTTTATATTATATATAGAAATAAAATTAATTTTGCAAATTGTGGAAAAAGAATGAAGTAAGCAGAGACCTTATCTTTCATTATGTTAACAGTAGTAGGTCAGGTGTAGTGGCTCATGCTTGTAATTCTAACACTTTGGATGGCTGAGGCAGAAGGACTGCTTGAGGCCAGAAGTTCAAGACCAGCCTGGGCAATATAGCAAGAACTCATCTCTACAACAAATTCTTAAAAAGTTAGCCAAGCATGGTGGTACATGCTTGTAGTCCTAGCTACATCAAAGGCTGAGCTGGGAGTACCACTGAACCCAGGAACTCCAGATTATAGTGAGCTATGATCCCGCCACTGAACTCCAGCCTGGGCAACAGGGCAAGACCTTGTCTCTAACAAATAAATAAATAAATAAATATTAAAACTAGGCTAGGTACCGTGGTTCATGCTAGTGCTTCGGGAGGCAGAAGTGGGCAGATCAGGATTGTTTGAGCTCAAGAGTTTGAGACCAGCCTGGGCAACATGGTGAAACCCCGTCTCTATTAAAAGTACAAAAAATTAGCTGGGCGTGGTGGTGCATGCCTGTAATCTCAGCTACTCAGGAGACTGAGGCACAAGAATTGCTTCAACCCAGGAGGCAGAGGTTGCAGTGCACTGAGATCATGCCACTAAACTCCAGCCTGGGCAACAGAATAAGACTCTGTCTCAAAAACTTTAAAACAGGAAAATAATTATTATTATTTTATATATATATATATATATTTCTTTTAATATATATATGAGGACTGCTTGAACCCAAGAGTTCAAGGTTACAGTGAGCAATGACAACAGCCTGCAACAGAGTAAGACCCTGTGCCTAAAAAAAAGGAAAAGAAAAATTCAGTAGTAGCAGAAACAGCCAATATTTACTGTGAGCCTTTATGTTACGGATACTTTTGGAAAGAGTATCCATGAATCTTTAAACTCAATGTTCAAATTATCACATGTGATAAGTCCTGTTATTATGTCCATTTTATAGACAAGGAAACTGAGACAACGAACAGCTTAACAATTTGCTCAAGGCCATGTAGGTTAGAAGCAGCAAAGGATTAGAAGCCAAGCTGCCTGAAGTGAGGCCTGTTTTCTTAACCACCCGTGCTACACTACCTCATATGAACAAGTTAGGAGATGCCTTGTAAAGTTTACAAATCAAGATACAAGTACATAATGTATAACTAGTGCTACCTACCCAAATAATATGAGCATTACATTCACTCAGAGTAAAGAATAGGGAGGGGATCCAATCGGTGCTTAATACCATTCTCTATTCTTTGAAATGTCTATACATTCTATGAGTTATTTTATTAGTAAACAGGATAGAGGAACAAATGAGCAGGAAAAAAGTTATAGACCTCACCTGAGGCATATAACTAATCTACCTAAAATGTAGAAAACTATATCTTACATTATGCAATTAAACTGCAGGGAACAACAACAGCAAAGCAAAACCAAATATCTCTCTCAATAGCTATAACATTTCCTTGTTTCTGGCAAAACACTTAACAAGTCCTCAGGCTCCCCACCTATGACAAACCACTTCAAAATCCTACATAAGGTAAAAATAATCTCAAAATACAATAATGTTTAATGCTCTTCTTAGATTCTGTATTTTTCCCCTCTCATTTTATACTAACATATACACATTTTCATTTTAAAGGGTCTCATTTAGGAGCCTTCATTTTAAAGGGGTACATGGTAGTATTTGTTCATTTAAAAAGTGGCACGGGGAAAACAAAACTGACTGAAAAATTCTCTTTATTACCTTACTGATTACCTTTCAGGAAATGCTCCAGCCACCCTCTTCTGTTTAGTTGTTGCAAATCTGTGACACACCGTTAAGGACCAAATCATGCACCATGTGCTCACAGCATACCTCCTCTTCCTAATTCCTTGCTCACTCTCACTCTTGTTCCCTGGGTAGCCACACCACTTCTCCAAGGCCAACTGACTGACACATTCAACCCAATCCAGAAATCACCAAACATTGGGTGGTAATTCCCCTGCATTTTACTTGCAAATGAAAAACATGTGAAAATGTCAATTTGCTTAATTTTCCTAAAGATAGGGGCAACTTCACGCCTGCCATCTTTTTAGGTTTAGGGCGAAGAGGAAACAGCAAACAGATGGCTCACTCCTCAAGCCGTCATAACCGATGGGCTGGAGTGAACATGGTGACTGCCTGTCCCACATCCATTTCACTCCTGGCCTACTGAACCACAGCAATGCTGTTTGCTGACCTGTCAGCTCAAGGGTGGGCCTCCAGGTAAATGGCTGGTTCAGAATGGGCATGTGACCCAATTCTGGACTATGAGAATCAGAAGAGGTTGCTGGAGGCTTATGCTTGCATGCAGCCAAATCCAGGGACGACTAATCCCCCTGGTAACAGCTATTTGAATTTCACTTGCAAATGAAAAAACACAATATCTTTTTTTTTTTTTTTTTTTTTTTTAGATGGAGTCTTGCCCTGTCACCCAGGCTAGAGTGCAGTGATACAATCACTGCAACCTTCTCCTCTCAGGTTCAAGCAATTCTCCTGCCTCAGGCTCCCGAGTAGCTGGAATTACAAGTGTGTGTCACCACATCCAGCTAATTTTTTGCATTTTTAGTAGATGGGGTTTCGCCACATTGGCCAGGCTGGTCTCGAACTCCTGACCTCAGGTGATCTGCCCGCCTCGGCCTTTCAAAGTGCTGGGATTACAGGCATGAGCCACGGCCCCTGGCCTGACACAAGTAGTATCTTGAGATGGTTTGAAGAGAACAACTGTTCCTTCAGGTGGACATTACAAGAAGACAACCACCAGCCGGGCGCGGTGGCTCAAGCCTGTAATCCCAGCACTTTGGGAGGCCAAGGCGGGTGGATCATGAGGTCAAGAGATCGAGACCATCCTTGTCAACATAGTGAAACCCCGTCTCTACTAAAAATACAAAACATTAGCTGGGCATGGTGGCGCGTGCCTGTAATCCCAGCTACTCAGGAGGCTGAGGCAGGAGAATTGCCTGAACCCAGGAGGCGGAGGTTGCGGTGAGCTGAGATCGCGCCATTGCACTCCAGCCTGGGTAGCAAGAGTGAAACTCCGTCTCAA